TTATCCTCCTTTTCCATTCCATTTTCCTGTACCCAAGAGCTACTTAGTGAAATCGTGACGAAGACGAAAAAAAGTGGCTACTAGAGGAAGATGAATTGGTTGAATTTTTAACGAAAGTAACTAGATATTCGATAACTGAAACCATCAACTAAATAAAAGTATTCTAGTCGAATATTTTTACAATTTTAGGATTTAAAAAACAACTTTTTTTAAAAAAAATAAAATAAAAATACCGGGAAACAATGTCGTAGAATGACAAATATACCCTTGACGACTTTACGACCGCGCCTGTCCTAAGAAAGCGAGTTTGAAAACTCCCTTTGGCCTAATCTACGCCCTCCCGCAGACGGCCATTTGTTTGGTACTTTCCCTCTCTCTATATATACACACTTTCACTTCTTTCTGTATATTTATACTTACATCTGTATGCATAAATTCGACCTGTCCTGAGACTCCCTCTGTCAAAATTCAGTGTCAAAAAGTTTTGAATTGCTCAACGATAAGAAGATTTCAATTTTCGATTCGGTTGCAGAAAAAAATTCAAGAAAAATCTGAGTGAATTCCGAAAATATCGGCTCAAATGGCTTCGTCGAAGGTGATGGCATCAACATCACCACCCAATCCGGATCTGGCACGTCAAACTTCGCCTTCTTCTTCTTTACTTTCAGTTACTGATCAGCCTCGGAATTTTGGGTCTATGAGCATGGAGGAAATTTTGAAGAACATTTATTCTGATCCTGATTCGTTTGTTGTGGAGAATAACGGCATCCGAGGTGGGGATACTGTTGTGGACGGTGGTGATGCTGGTGGAGGAATGAGAAATGGGAGCGGGGGTGGAGATGGGGATGGGAATAAGACGGTGGATGAGGTGTGGAGGGAGATTGTTGTTGGAGGTGGAAATGGAGGTGAGGAGCCGGCGATGACTTTGGAGGATTTTCTGACGAAGGCGGGGGCGGTGAGTGAGGAGGATGTAAGGGTTCCGGTGGAGACCATGGGACCTCCTCCTCCTCCTGTTCTGCCTGCCACGGCGGCGTTTGTCGTGGATGCGACGGTGAATTCTGTGGTGGGTGTGGAGGCTGCAGGGCACTTTGCTCCTTCCGTGTGCATGCAGAATGGATCAACAGGCGGAGGGTATGGGGTGGAGTTTGGAAATGGAATGGTGGCTGTGGGACGGAGTGGCGGCGTCAGTGGCAGAGGGAAACGTAGAGCTGCAGTAGAAGAGGTTGTGCTCGATAAGGCCACTCAGCAGAAGCAGAGGAGAATGATAAAAAACAGAGAGTCTGCTGCCAGGTCCAGGGAACGGAAGCAGGTTTTTTTCTTCCTTTAATTTATTTTTCTTTTTATATTGTTTTGATTGAGTTGATTGTTAATCTGATGGTGATTTTTTACAGGCTTATACTGTGGAGTTGGAGACATTGGTGACACAACTAGAGGAGGAAAAGGCTAGGCTTTTGAGAGAAGAGGTATCATTTTATTTTCTTAATTTTGTTGGACAATACAATTCAAATAATTTTAACCTTTAAGGTCTTGCATTTATTTGTGCATTTTGTAGCTCTTTTGATCCCAAGACAACTTTTTGATAAAAAAATATCGATTCTTCGAACTCAGGCTGGACTATCAATCAATCGAAAAGGATCGGGGATTTAGTTGGTTCAATTGTTGCTAAAAACTAAATCTTGAATGGGTTATTTTGGCCAAATTCTTCTATTCAGTATCTTATTGCACATCTTATCTCTCCACATAAATAAAAAGAACTGGCAGATTATGTTAATCTAATATACGAATTATCCGAGAAAGGAACATATTCTAAATTTTGGCGACACAAAGTTTTGATCAGTGTAGTTTTTACTCCATTATTTTTTATTTTTGGTTTAAGGGCTTGAGGGTGATAACTTTTTGTTTGCTTATTGGATATTTTGAATTGCCCTGAAATTTAGAAGAGAAGAAGCAAGGAAGAAGTGGCAGTCTGGCAATCTTTGCTTCCTTTCTATTCGTTGTTTATGTCCTCTACTATCTCGCTCTTATTTCCATATAGATCATGTTAGGCTAGTTTAAAAGCCTTGCCCCCCTTTTAAGAGGCTTTTAGCCAAACATGCAGTATGCCAGATGAGTCTCCATACGTAGATGGTATCCTGCTTATAGGAATCTTACACATTATCTTGCTAACAGTTCCCCGACAAAGACCAATTTTTTTTTTCCCGTTTGACTTATTGAATCAATATTTTTTATATTTTAAGTCTCAAGTGTGTTCGCCTTGTTTTCTAGTATTTGGAAGTTCCTAAAGAATAGTTCATCAATTGCAGGCTGAGCAGAACAGGAAGAGGTATAAACAGGTACAATTTTGACCCTTTGTAGCTAAATGCACTTTTTCTTTGTCCTTTATTCCTTAATTTTTTGGGATGTAAGAGTTAAATGTTATTTAGTTTACATCTCTTTCACAACTCTCTTTGACCGCTTACTTTTGACCATTAGAATTGTGCAATGCACGCTTGTTCAAGTGTAAATAATTTTCTCAAGGGAAATTTGCAGACAACTCAAAGATTTTCCAGATGTATATGTCATGCCTTGAATGTCAATGCATGTACAGCTGATGGAGACAACTGACTGTTTCTTTGAGAATATGAAATACTACATCTTCAATTAAATCACATGTATATGGTGATCTAGCCACAAGTTCGTAACAAGCATATGGTACACATGAGTTTACCTGTTCCATATGCTTTTACATGTGTATATGTTGATCTAGCCATGAGGTCGTAAGCATATGCTTGTTCCTGCATATATGCATATATATGGTAAAAGAATATATGTTACAAACTCGAGTGAAAAAAAAAAAACATATTCTTGTTTTTAGTGTAAAGCAAAAGCATACGCATATGCTTTACACTTAAAACGTTTGTTGGATTTCTTTACCTTTTCTGCCACAGTAATATGTATTTAACTGAAAATAAGGAAACTAAAATAATTCTCATTTTGCCTTTGACAAGTTGTCGTAAATAAAATATCTAATTTCATTTTACATATCACTGTAATTGTAGTACTGATTTTTATGACCCGTATTTGGCTGGAGGATACTAGCACACCTTGCGACATCATAAGTTATGTTTATTATCAATCATATTTTCCACAAACTGTCATTCTATAGCTTTACTCAATCTGCATGAGCATTCAAGCAATGTGCATGATCTAATTGCTGAACGTAACTGTAGATGATAACGGGTGTTCCATGATATCTAGGGCAAATTAAGGATGCGTATAACTGACTCTCCTTCATTTGTTCTGTTTTATTTGAAATATCGTGGGTGTTCAGTTGTATGACTTTTGTTACCTAATTGAGTGATTGAAGTACAGAAAAGTTAATGTAGAGGTTCTCAGAAACTTCTATATTAATTGGTTGGAGCATTCCTTTTTTACCTATCAAAAAAAAGAAACTTCTATATTAATGTTTATGAACGTGTATAAGATGATTTTACAGTGGCATCGTAAAAGTTTGGAGTAGCCAGAACTATACTTGTAGGATAGTTCAACCCATTTGTGCACGTTTCTCCTGTATAATGTGCATGCTGAAACATTTGTCTCTCTTTCTTGTTAATGTTTTATGCTACTAATCAGCATACTTTTGACAACTTTGATCATAATTTAAGAGAGAATTATCAAATGGAGTTTGATTAGAAGGTAAGATGGGAATCATAAAATTGTCAGTCATGCTTGGACACAATAGAAATGCATCCAGATACACTTTTTTAATGTCTTGAATCTTTCTGAAAAAGAGTAAGGTTTTTTCACGTCCTCTTCCTGCTCTGAACTCAAAATTGTCAAGTTATAGCTATTGCCCTGAAATGTTCTTATGGAGGCATTATTTATATTCTTCCATAATTACTCTTTGGGGTATACTAACTTGGTATGAATTCTATACCACCTCCTAATGTGTAATAGGATATGAAGGTTATATATATCATCCAGTGTTTCTTCAATTCTATTTGTGTGGTTAGTTTGCTTGTCAAAATTTAAGTTACTTGGAGCTATGATAGAGATAGATCATACAGTAGGACCAATAAATTGTGAACATTTTCGTGTATGGTATGTCTTGAGCTTTGGTCAATCTGAAAGTAACAAGTTTAGATGTTAAATAAGTTCAAGCAATAGAATAGTAGGTTCTGAACTTACATATTTTTAATCAGTTCTGCAAGGACGTGATGCATTCTCCAGGCTAATAGCCGATGTGCTTCAATCCTATTTGAGTTGAGATACTGCATTTCTATCAGGCAACACTGCTAAGTGCTATCTCAAGTTGAACTTTTAGATGAACTTCTTAGTGTTTGATTTGTGGTCTGAATAGGAAATTTGTGACGACCTGAGTTCTAAAGATTCGAGTGTTACTAAGATCGTATCTTGAACACCATATTTCACTTTCAAAAACTTGAAGTTTTATTAAATAATATCATGAAATAATAAAGAGTAAGCTTAAATAAAATACTAGAAGTTTTAGTAGTCTTAATTTCTAAATCAACAATCAAGTTCTTAAATCACTAAAAGTAAGCTTGGTGTGTCTATTTTCACTTGCCACTTCGTCAGTTCTCTCATGTCTTGATTGTCACGAACCATTAATTTCCTGAAAGGGGTACAAGGAGGGGGTGCTATAAAATCTCAATAAGCATATAAGTACATGGATTAATATTGTACGGAATTCAAGGAACTTCATACATACATACATAGTGAGACACGAAAATCTATAGCGATTAGCGAACATAGGTGGTATGGAATTTTCATGCGTAGCGCTACTATATTTCGGTCCAAACTTAGAACATACATAAATGATCCATAATCAATGTTTCAAAAACCTAACGTACGCATATAATCCCATAAAATACTTACACACTTAACTATATCTTGTGGAAGTGATAAGAAAAATACTTAAATATATTTGGGACTTCAACATTTAACCCACGTACTAATGAATATAGTACATGTATTTCACATAGATATGAATATACTTGAAAAAGAAACATATGATACCCATATAGGGACCACCATGCTTTGAGAGTTGTAATTCAATTGAACTTTGAATTTTAAAAGTGATAAAATCTTATCATTATCTCGATAAGATAATGAATTTAAAATTAAAAAAATCATTATCTCCATAATTTCTAAAATTAAATAAAGTAGAAATAAATTCATAATATTATCTTAATAATTTAAAATTTCAATTTTACTTAAAAGAGATAAAATTAAAATATTATCTCAATNTAATTTAAAATTTCAATTTTAATTAAAAATTTCAATTTTAATTAAAAGAGATAAAATTGAAACATTATTTCAATTATCTTTTAACATTAAATAAGATATAGATAAAATCAACATATTAGCTGAATTGGAATTTGATTATATCTCAATTATTTAAAATTTCGATTTAATTAAAAGATTATTTAATTAAAACTAAATAAGATTTTAATCACTTGGGCTTAAGCCTAAAAGGAAAAATAAAACAAAAGGTGTGAGCTATCATTTCACATAATGGACTTTCACGTAACTGACCGGGCTAAAATATTGATCGTGTCTTCTTTTTTTTTATAACGGGCCAAACATAACTTAATAAAATTTGGCCATAGGTACGGGTATTACAAAATTAGATCAGTAATGCTTGAGTGGTTTTTAGCTGGTACTCACAATTCTCCTTTTTGGCCTCTTCCATCTAATCTTGTACTCTTTCTAGTGCTGTTATGAGAGATTTTATTCATGATTTGTTCAGGCTTTCAATGTGTATACATGATTATATATAGAACAAAATGTGCTGTAGACAATTAATATCAACTACTAATGAAATTAATTGATCTGGTAATACTAATTCATCTGCTAAGATGTGAAATTTAATTATCCGGCGGGCACCTAATTTTTTGAATTTTGTCGTGACGGATGAGATGTCAGTATCACCTGATGTCAAATTCCCCTACTTGGGTACTCACATATGCAATTCTATCATGGAAGTCAATTCTACTTCTATTCATTTCAAACAACATCTATTGAATTCTTTACTGCTGCTTTAACCTTTTTTTCCTTTCCTTTCCTTTCCTTTTATTT